TGCGCGGGCGCGAGCTGGCTGCCGGGATGCCGGCCCGCGGCGTGGGGCTCGGCGGTTCGCGTCGAGGCGTTCGGTGGCCGTGGGCGAGGCGATGGGGTGCAGGGATGTTCCGAGGCGCGAGGCTTCGCGTGAGGTCCTCGGTGCGGGAGCTGCGCGGGGTGCGTGCGGAGAGGCTGCGGCCACGGCGGAGACGTGCCGCGGAGTCCGCGGGGGCCCACCAGGCCTTAGGGCCACCTGGGACTGTCGGCTTGACCGAGGCAGCGAGGGACCCCAGGGTTGTGTGGGTGAACGGGGCTGTTGGTGAACCGGCGGTAGTGGGGCCTGCTGGGTCTGTGTGGGTGACTAGATCCGAGGAGGAGGAGGAAGCAAGGGGGATCTGGAGCCGCCGCGGCTGTGAGAGGAAAGGGCGTCCCAGCCCTATGGGGCACGAGAGCATTCTGGAGCTGTGGTTGAAGGTGCGGGCTATGAGGATGGCCTCAGGATGCTGGGAAGGAAGCCGAGTGGAGCTCCATCCTGTGCCTGCAGGAGAGGGGGCAGTGGAAAGGGGTCTCCCTGGTCGTGCATCTTGGTTCCAGACAAGCCAAGATGGTGTCACGGGACCCTGGGTGAGAGGACAGGCCAGGGCAGGATCCCAGGCCTCAGGACTGACCACGTCTGTGGGGCTTGGGGCAGCTTGTGAGCTAGCCTCAGGTCCCTGTGGGCAGGCCCAGGTGGGGCTAGTGTCTTCTCCTGTGGTGGTGTCTGGACTCTTGGAGGAGGTAGGCTGTGTAGGCGTCCCAGGTCCTCAGGAACTAGGACAGACTCCGGAGGACCTTGGGGCCATGGACTTACCTGAGGCTGTAGGTGTACTCAGAGCTGGAGAGGTGGAGATGTGTTGTGGGGATACCCCTGGTCTGGAGGACAGTGGTCAGTTGGTGCAGATTCCTGGGGCTGTGACACAACTGGCAGGCTGTGGGGATGCCTCAAGCTTATGGGAAAAGGCTGTGGAGGTCCCTGATGCCTGGGTGGTACCTAGAGTTGTTTCAGAAGAAACCATCTCTATGGGTCCCTCAGGCATGTGGCAGAGGAGGCAGGTAGAGGAGGATATAGGCTCTGAGAGTAACCCTGGCCTGTGGGGTACAGAGCAGCCTATAGGGATGCCTTGTGCTACTGAGGAGGATACTAGATGTGGGTGTGACCCAGGATTCAGGGAAAGGGCAGAGAGGAGCTTGTGGGTAGAGAGAAGCTCTGAAGGCAGCCCAGGATCATGGGGTGTTTTACACCCTGCAGCACTATGTGATCCTGGGGAGTGGAAAGCAGGTTTACCGAGTGCCCAGGGCCTGTGGGGTCCAGAACACACTGTGGAAGTACCTAAGACTTTAGGAAGAGAGATAGATTGTGTGAGTGTCTCAGGGCTGAGAGGAACAGGCCAGCTGCCAGAGTTGTCCAGGACTGTGGTGCTGGGAGACAGGGAGAAAGGGACCATCTATGGTGTCCTCCCAGGCCTGCAGGAGAAGCAGCAGGCTCTGGGGGCACCTGTGGCTGAGACAGAGCTGACTAAGGAGGAGACACACAATGGAAGTGTCCTGAACCCGTGGGGAAGAAGGCAGATTGAGGAGCAAGAGGCTCTAGGGCCTGCAACTTTTCAGGTTCCTGGGCTTGTGAATCAGGAGGCTGTTTTGGGGGCTGCCTCTTGTATGTGTGGGAGAAGGCAGACTATGGGTATATCTCAGACATTGGGGATGCCCAAGGTAGCAGGGGTGCCCAAGCACAGGGGTACCCCAACAGGAGTTCCCATAGCTTTGAGTGGGCCTGCCAGAGTGCCTACTGCTGTGTGGGTGTCTAGCCCTGTGTGTCAGGGAAGCCACTCTGAAGATGGTGTGAACCTGTGGGGTAGGGCACCTGCTGTTGAGGTGCCTGTGGCTCCTGAGGCGCTTTGGTCTATGGGAAAAACTGCTGATTGTGGGGCTTTCTCCTGTTCATTGGGAAGGAGAAAGGCTTTTGGGGTTCCTGTGGCTCCTGAGGAACTTGGCTCTCTAGAGGCAGAGACTGGCTCTGAGGGATTTTCAGGCTTGTCAGAAAGGAGACAAACTGCAGGAATACCTGTGGTTGCAGGGCTGTCCCCAGGTGGTGGGGAGCCTGTGGCTCTCAGGGTGCCTAGGCCTGTGCTGGAGGAAACTGGCTGTGAAAGTATCCCAGGCTTGAGCATGGAGAGAGAGAGAGGGTGGGGATCAGCAGGTGTCAAGGCTTCCACAAGTATGGGGACGCCTGTTTCTGCTAGGATATCCGGGTCCACACGGGAGAAGACTGTCTGTGGGAGGGTGTCAGATTTGTCAAGAATCAGACAGACTGCAAGGGCACCCATGGTTTTGGGACAACTGGAGCCTGCAAGGGAGGAGACATTTTCTGAGGGTATCTGGGGTTTATCAGGAGGAAGACAGACTATTGAGATGCCTGCAGCTGCTCAAGTGTTCATGACCCAGGAAGTCTCCACAGCACCTGGGCTCCTAATGGTGGGAGATTGTATCTCTGAGGATAACATGGGGTTGGGGAGGAGAACCACTGAGGTGCCTCCTGTTGCTAGGCTTCCTGGACTTAATGAGGGAGAGGAAGGCACTGAAGGTGCTCCAGGCCTGTGGAGAAGCAGGAGCAATAGAATAGTCCCTGGGGCTGTGCAGAGACCTTTGCCTCTGGAGATGCTTACAGCTGTATCCACAGAGGAGCATGTGCCTGCTGCATTGTGGGTGACCACATCCTCTGGAGAGGAAGATGAATGTGCGTCAGGCCTGTCAGTGTGGAGGAGACAGTGCACAGAAGGAGCCAGGACTTCAGGAGGGGAGAGTAGAAGGGCTGTAGGACTGGCAGGGAGTGGCCAAGCTACAGAGGCATCTTATGTCTGGGGAGGTGATGCTAGGTTATGGGGCTGTCCAAGAACTACGGGGGGAATTTGTGAGAGTATTCCTGGAGTGGCTGGAACTAGAACTGCTGTGTCCCTAATTTCACAGGAGGACATGGGCCTCAGCCATTTCAGTAATCACTTGCCACAAAGTGAGAGGCGACAGGGAGGAGGAAGATCAGGAGTTTCAGTAGTCACCTGCCACAAAGTGAGAGGAGAGAGGGAGGAGGAGGATCAGGAGTCAAAGTGAGGGGGAAATGTGAGGGAGGACAGGTTGAGATGGACATATCATTAATGTGTGTGTATGTGGGGGGGGGGAGAATGTCCTGGGGCTCTGGGAGGGAGCAGATTGTGGGGAGGTTTATTCTGAATGGGGGGTGAAGGCACAGGCTATAGCAGTGTCTGGATAGAGGGAGAGGCACTAGAAATGCCCCAGTGTATGTAGGGTGACAGTTAAGGAGCTTTCCTGTAACAACGGGGAATGTGCAGGAGAGGGGTGTCCCAGGACTTTGTATAGGGGAAGGTTTGCAAGGTCCAGGGTATGAAAGTGTGAGTGATCATGTGTCCTGAAACTGGGAATCTTGCTTTTTTCCTAGTGGAGTGTGAGGCCTTTGTCCTGTGGAGTCATGTGAGGGGAAGGGGGTGGTACTAACCACATGGAAGCTGCAGCTGTTCTGGCCCCAATTCTTCAGTCACCAATCATCTGTGACTCCAGCTCCAGACCTGCAGTGCCATCAGACTAGTTAGGACTGCCTCCCACATGTGCCTTTTCCCATCTGCATTTTGGATCATGTCTCTAGGAATCTTAGACAGCTGTCTTTATGTTCCTTCAGATGTATCTGTCATTAAACATCCAATATGTAAACTTTTGATTTATTTAAAAGCTTAAGTGTGTATGTATATATGTGTATGTGTATGTACGCATGTGCATGCATGTACACTGGTTCTAGAGCTTGAACTCAGGGCTTGGGTTTTGTCCCTGAGCTTCTTCAAGGCTAGTATTCTACCACTTGAGCCACAGGCTTTTGGTTGTTCTGACAGGCTCTTTTTGGTGATTGTTCTGGTCCTAGTGCTTGAACTTGGCCTGGGTGCTTGAGGTTTTTTTTTTTTTTTTTGCTCAAGTTTAGTGCTCTACTACCTGAACTATACAGCTATACTTCCTGCTTTTTGGTGGTTAATTGGTGGTAAGAGTTTCAGACTTTCCTGCCCAGGCCGGCTTTGAACCATGATCCTTAGCTCGCCACCTCCTGAGTAGGTATTATGGGCATAAGCCACCAGTGCCTGGCAAGTTAAGCTTTTTTTTTTAAACCTTGGATTTCCCAGAGGATGTACAATGCACTTTGAGAGAACAAATTCTCCTTTGTATTTAAAACTAGAGCCAGTTCTTAGAAAACAAGCTTAACTCAACAAATGGAAAGTTACATTATCTACTAAGTTCATAGTCCTGTGGTGTTGGGAAATAGAAGATCAAGACAGGCCCTTAATCCTCCTGGAATCTTGTCTGGCTGGCAAGATGAGACATAGACCTGTGGAATAGGTAAATAACAAGATGGGACAAATAACTGAGGGGTAGGGCTACTGAAATGTATAAGGAGACCTTCAGAATGATGAAAGCAGTTTACCATTGCCTGGCCCCTTATAGCTTACCAAATGCTCTACTGTTCATGGCCTTACTATGAGTGTGTAGGGCTAGGCAAGATGGGGAAACTGAAGATTTAGATACTTAGTGCTAGATCCTGGTTTAAGTATAAAACTTATGGTCCCCTAGCTACTTGAGAGGGCTTTTATTGTTGTCTTTTAAATACTGCCTTTTGATAGGCTGGGAATGTGACTTAGTGGTAGAGTACTTGTCTAACATGTATGAAGCCCTGGGTTCGATTTCTTAAGTACCACATAAATAGAAAAAGCTAGAAGTGGCACTGTGACTCAAGTGGTAGAGCGCTAGCCTTGAGCTGAAGAGCTGAGGGACAGCGCCCAGGCCCAGAGTTCAGGCCCCATGACCGGACCCCCCCCCAAAATAAAAAAGAACCCTGCTACAAAGTGTTAATCATGGCCCAGCTCTGCTCTGTGACTGTCTTGCTTTAGATTCTTGAGATCTGAAATGTGTACTAGAAAGGGTCCAAGAGATGGTAATAGATTGTAATAAAAATATTAATTCTTGAAAAATCACAAGTTCAAAAGTATCTGAGCACAGTCAATCAGCATGAAATTTCTATGGGTTACTAAAGAAAGGGTAGTGATCTATGAACATGGCAGTGTGTTTTTAATCTGTTTTATGATTTTTTTTGTGTGAGGACTGCTGTTCTAAAAATAGCTGTTTCCTTTTAGCAATGGTTCTAAGGAAGACTTTCCAGCTAACTAAACCATCACTGTTCTACACTATTGAAAATAATGGGACCAGGCCAGCCAGCTTCCACCTGTGTTCACCTAGCATCCAGTACACAGCTAGATGGGATGTGTGACTCCAAGCATCAGCATACCCAGGTAGCTTTGTTTTTCTCCAGGTAATACTGTAAATCATTTCAAGCATGAAAAGTTTAAAGAGAAGGCATTGAATAGTTTTAAAACTACCTTCTAGGTCTTAGAGTTGTTAATGATTGTCCTGTTGTTTTTTTTGTTTTTGTTTTTTTTTGGTTTGTTGGTCATGGGGCCTGAACTCTGTGCCTTGGTACTGTCACTCAGCTCTTCAGCTCAAGGCTAGTACTCTACCACTTGAGCCACAGCACCACTGCTGATATTTTCTGTGTATGTGGTGCTGAGGAATGGAACCCATGCCTCATGCATGCAGGCAAGCACTCTACCACTGAGCTGCCTTCCCAGCCCCATTTTTTAAAAAATCAGACTCAAACCAGAGAAAGAAAGTAAAGGTGTTTTTGTTCATTTTGTTTTATGTTGTGAGCGGTACTGAAACTTGAACTCAGGCTCTTGGTTGGCTTTTTTCCACTGAAGGCAGGTGGAGGTCTTCCACTTGAGACAAAGCTCTACTTCCAGCCTTTTGCTTGTTGATGGGAGGTGAAAGTCTCTCAGATTTGTCTGCCCAAGCTGGCTTTGAACCTTGATCCTCAGATCTTAACCTCTTGAGTGTCTAGGATTACAGGCATGATCTACCTGTGCCCAGCTGGTTTAGTATTTCATTGAGAATTTTTGCATATGTGTTCATCAAAGAAATTGGACTATAATTGTCTTCTTTTTTATGGGTGTGGTGGATAGTTCTAGAGTTTGAACTCACAGCATCACAATTAATAGGCAAACACTCTTATTAATATTGCTAAGCCACCTCACCAACTGTATAATTTTCTTTTCTTGTTGTATCCTGTTTTGGGTGTCAAGGTAACACTGGCTTTTTGCCCAGCTATACTGTGTCTTTAGTTTCCATTAGTGTGAATTTCTGAGTCTGGTTTTTGTTTTTGTGACACACTTTTGAAGAATACTAGCTATTTAATTTTTTTTTGTCAGTCGTGGGGCCTGAACTCCTGGCCTGGGCATTGTCCCTCAGCTCTTTAGCTCAAGGCTAGCGCCCTACCACTTGAGCCACAGTAGCCACAGTACCACTTCCGGCTTTTTTTTTCTGCTTATATGGTACTAAGGAATCAAACCCAAGGTCTCATACATGCGAAGCAAGCACTCTACCACTGAGCCAACTTCCCAGCCTTAAATTTTTTTTTTCACTTTGAGTGAAAAAGACACTTTGTCTAGTGTCTTGTCATAATTGCATTGAGGTTGTGTACATGGGGCAGTAAAAGCACCAGTGTGCTGCTGACTCCATCTTAGTGCATTGTATCAAAGTATATGCTGTCAGTTTAGTCTATTTGGCCATGTTGACTTGGGTCATATAAGGTGGTCTCTGCTATGTTTCCAGTGTAAAATTAATTTTTTATTTTTTAATGTTAGTACTGGAACACTCAGGGTCTGGGTGCTGTCCTTTAGCTTTTTTGCTAAGGCTGGTGCACAACCACTTGAGTCACAGCACTATGTCTGGATTTTTGCTGATTAATTGGAGATAAAAGTCTCAGATTGTGATCCTCACATCTCAGCCACCTAAGTAGCTGGGACTGCAGGCCTTGGCCACCAGCATCTGGCTAAACAATGCTTTCTAATGTGGTTATTCATTTGAAAGTCAGCTTGGTCGGTTGATTTCTGTTAGTATTCATTTTTCGAGTTTTATTTCTTTCCTCCTCCCCTTCTTTTCAACTTCCTTCCCCTCACTCATATATCTGTGAAATAGTAACATGGTTCTGATAGACCTGTCCAAAAGCATATATTCAGAAAAATGTTACTCTTCACTCAGTCTTTTTCTTTTCCATTACCCACACTTTGTAGATAACCAATCCCACCTATCTCCAATTTTTTGTTTTGTTTTGTTTTGTTTTGGTCGGTCGTGGGGCTTGAACTCTGGGCCTGAGCACTGTCCCTGTGCTCTTCAGCTCAAGGTGAGCGCTCTACCGCTTGAGCCACAGTGCCACTTCTGGTTTTCTAGTGGTTTATTGGAGATAAGAGTCTCATGGACTTTCCTAACAGGGCTGGCTTTGAACCGCGATCCTCAGATCTCAGCCTCCTGGTAGCTAGGATTACAGGCATGAGCCACTGGCGCCCGGCTTATCTCCAGTTTTTATTTCCAAAGTTCCTTTTTGCTTATATGGCCAGATGCATGTGATTTCTTTTTTTTTTTTGGGTCCGGTCATGGGGTCTGAACTCTGGGCCTGGGCACTGTCCCTCAACTCTTCAGCTCAAGGCTGACACTCTTACCACTTGAGCCACTGCTCCACTTCTGGCTTTTTTTCTTTTTGCTTATGTGGTGCTGGGGAATCGAACCCAGGGCCTACTGCATGCAAGGCAAGCACTCTACCACTGAGCCACCTTCCCAGCCCCGCATGTGATTTTTCTTATGTCTCCTTTTTATCTTCCATGTGTCTGCAGCATATTATACTCTTTTTGGACTTTTCTGGCTGAGCCAACTTCTAATCTAAATCTTCCATATCTTAGCCTGCTGAGTAGCTAGTATTAAGGTGTGAACTACTGGTACCTACCTTCAGTTAATTGAAAATTTTTTATTTTAACTTTTAGTGACAAGCTCTAGCCCATGTGGTCTAGGCTGATCTTGAATTTATTGTGTAGCCCAGGCTGGTCTCAAACTCATGATCCTCCTGCCTCAGTTTCCTGAGTGCTGTGGTTACAAGTATGTGCCAACATGCCCAGCATAATAATTTAAAAATTTTAAAGTTGTAAAAATTTTTGTTCCTTTGGCATAATACCACAGCTTATCACTTATACTAAGGAAGTAATTTAAAAGGGGGAGTTATTAAATTTGCAAATATTTTAGGTACTATTTTTATTCATGGAGGAAACTAGAACAGTCTGAATGCTTAATAATATTATAGTTAGATACACTTTTGAAGGCTAATATTTGTATTTAGAAAAGACAACCAAAATATAATTGCTGTTTTTTGCTATTAAAAAATCCTCTTAAAAACTCTAGGAGAGGGGGCTGGGAAGGTGGCTCAGCGGTAGAGCACTTGCCTTGCAAGCCTCAGGCCCTGGGTTCGATTCCTCAGCACCACATAAGCAAAAAGAAAAAAGCCGGAAGTGGCGCTGTGGCTCAAGTGGTAGAGTGCTAGCCTTGAGCTGAAGAGCTGAGGGACAGCGCCCAGGCCCAGAGTTCAGGCCCCACAACCGGACCCCAAAAAAAAAACAAAACTCTAGGAGAGGGCTGAGAATATGGCTTAATGGTAGAGTGCTTGCCTAGCATGCATGTTCGATTCCTCAGTACCACATAAGTAGAAAAAGCCACAAGTGGCGCTGTGGCTCAAATAGTAGAGTACTAGCCTTGAGCAAAAGAAGCTCAGGGACAGTGCCTAGGCCCTGGCAGGATCCAGGACTGGCAAAACCTAAAAAAAAGAAAAAAAGCTCTAGGAATATGGAAAGCTGCTTGAGTTTAAATCATAAAAACTTGTATTATGATGAAGCTGACAAAAATTGGTGTAATCCTGTGTATTTGGACCATTGAGAGCAAGGTGTACCACCTTGAAAGATGTATCCCAACCAAACTCAGGAAGACCCAAAAATATACCAACAAATGTCTTAGTTGATGTGGTCATATGGTACATATCTGGGGAACATTTTCTGAATGCTCTTAATAGATTAAACTTGCTGGGCTGTGGGATTTAGAAACAGGACAGAAGACCACAACTGGGAGTTGAGGAACTTACTGATTGCTATTTAAAGCTTTCTTGTTTGACTTTAGAGGAGGATCCCAATGTCTGTTAGTAAGTGAAAGGCTAATACTGTGGGACTGAGGGAGTGTAGTATAGAGCCTGGGCTGCATGTGAACTAAAGCAGGTAGGAAAGCAGCTGATCTAGCTGTATAACAGCAGAACACCTCTGTATACAAATTATCTTGTGGGTGAAAATTTAAAAACCATGAAATATGTTATTCTAATATGTGCTTACTTTTGCTTTCTCTTTAAAGAACCAGCTGCAGTTTAATAGGAATATTCCTACACATCCCGAAAACTTGGCAATCCGATATTCTTGCCCACATGCAATTACGATTGAAAAACTGAAACACTCATATAATGAGTCAGATCATTGTAAAGATTCAGATTTAAGAGTTGGTGCTGACCTAAGCAGTTCTGTTTCATTTTCTGTCATATCAGAAGAGAGACTTAGCTATGCAGTCCACCTAGCCAAAAGAGATGTAAAACGAAAACAATTTGAAGAACACATAAAAGAATATCACCTCAGAAGTCAGCCTCAGAGTACCCAGAAATGTGGACACACAAAGAATAAAAATCCTGGTCACCAGGTGGAAAGGAAAGACACAAAGAGTCAAGAAGTCTGTCGGAGCAGCCACCAGCCATCCCAAGTAGGAGTGTCCAGCTCAGGTGCCAAGGTTTATGTGTATGCATCCCATCCAGGACATTCAGATCTCACTGTGCCAAACTCACCACCCACCCATGATCCAGGACTTCAGCCACAACCCAGAATAGACCACCACAAAAACTGCAGTGAACAAAAAAGCCTGCTGGAAGTTCAGCGACTGCAGAAAGAATTGAGCAATTGTATCCATAAAATTGAAGAGGTAACTAAAAAAGGTGAGAAAAATTAGATTCTTCAGTTTGAGGAGATACCATAAGTATAAGATAATTGAAATTATTTATTTGGAGGTCTCTTCTTCACACACCAAGTTTCATATGCTTGTTGGTTTCACTAGAGCTCATAAGATTTGAACCTGGAGTGCAGTCTATGTCATCTTTGTCTCACTTGCGTCCTGTTATAGGCCACACTTCATATGTAGGCTGACTAAGGGCCCAGCCTGGAAGTTGGAGTTCCTGTCAGTCAGTCTTAGATCTGATACCTGAGTACAAGGTAGTCTACAATCTTTTCCTTGTTTACTCAGGAGGCCCTCTAGCAAAATTATTTTTAAATTTTATACAGGTAACCTTTAAAAGGAGCATAACAGATTGTAGGTAAAATCAGGTCCTATTTGAGCAGTGTTGGGGGCACACCAATGATGGGGTAGATATTTGTGTAAAAAGTCTGGGAAGGAAGGAATAAAGTGATCAGAGACCATTTCCTGCAGTTTTCTAGTGATCTCAGTGTCCCTACCTTCTTTTAGGGAAGTAGAAGTTTGGTCTAAATGAAAACTTAGTATTGCAGTAGATAACAGGCAGGAAATCAAGTCTGGCCTAAAGCTATGAGTAGTAAGGAGCTGAGGAGCTGAGAATTAAAAGGAATTGTTGTGCTATGATAGGATAGTTCATAGTCTATATTTTGCTTTTGGTGTGTGTATGCAGGTACTGGGACTTGAACTCAGCTTTAAAACTTAAGAGCGTAATGAACTTTTTAAACTTTAATCAATTGTGTTATTATAAAATGTAAAACAGAAAAAGCAGTTGGGCTGGGCATTGGTGGCTCACACCTGTAATCCTAATTATTCAGGAAGCTGAGATCTGAAGTTCAAGGTTCAAAGCAAGTCCTTGAGACTCTTATCTTCAATTAACCACCAAAAAGCTGGAAATGGAGCTGTGACTCAAGTGGTACAGTGCTAGCTTTGAACACAAAAGCTTAGGGACAACAGCCAGTCCCTGAGCTCAAGCCCCAGTATAAGCACAAAACAGAAGATAAAAGAAAAGCAGTTGTGTAAGGAAATTTCCACATACTTCAGGCAGAAAAAAGTTTCTCCAGTAGGTCTTCTTAAAAAATACATGGTATAATATGAACAGGTCAAATCATCCCTATAGAAACATAACAACACTGTGGCTTGCTTCTTGTTACATTCCTCAGTGTCAGTGGTGGGAACCCAACACAAATTTCCAGTGGAAGCTGTGCTACCAGGGGAACAAAAGCACTGCTGGCCTGGCCTGACCCACAGGATATATACTTTTTAATGTTAATGTTTTATTTGATTCTGTGAGCAATATGCCACATCAGTTGAACAATTCATAAGGGAGAAACTAAGATGATGGATAGTCTCACTATAGATGTTCTGTAATTGTATATTATATAACTTTATATTGCATTTCTTCGCTTCTTTGCTGTGTATATTTTTCCACTATAGGATACCTCCATTTATTCTATTAATATTATTTCTTTTTTCCATACTATTATGTTTAATAACCGTTTCTTTTTCACAGTTTTTAACTTTTTTTTCACGATTTCACAGTTTTTTACTTTTTTTGTACATTAAAATACAAACAAGAAAATTCCTTGTTGCTGGTACAGAGTACAATTGATTTTTTAAAAATGTGTGAATGTGTCGGGTACTGGTGGCTCACGCCAGTAAGCCTAGCTACTCAGGAAGCTGAAATCTGGTTCAAAGCTAACCTAGGCAGGAAAGTCCATGAGACTCTTCAGCTAATCACCAGAAAATCAGGAGTGGAGCTGTGACTCAAAATGATAGAGTGCTTGCCTTGAGCTGAAGAGCTCAGGTACAGAGCCTGGGCCCTGAGTTCAAGTCCCACAACTGACCAGCACATGGACCCCTTCCTTGACAATCAGTAGACTGTTATATGCCCTAGAGTTTGGGACATCTTCCAGTAGTGTCTATCCTGTGTAGCCTGTAGTTAGCTTTCCCACACCCCATTTTAAGGCCCGAGAGAATGCCACTCTACTGCTGTGTCCCAAAATACATGTAAAAGGGCAAGAGTCCACTTCTAAAGAAGTGGCAGTAGCTGCCAGGCCTTCAAATATCAGTTATCCCATACTCATCATTTACATCTGTCTTGTAGAAGAAAGGGAGGCAAGGCTCATTGCCCAAGCCTGCAAGTTCTTGGTAGTGCTGGATATCAGGCAGCAATGGCACAATCTGCTCTGTAGTGGGGTTCTTTTTTTTTTTTTTTGGGTCCGGTCGTGGGGCCTGAACTCTGGGCCTGGGCACTTGTCCCTCAGCTCTTCAGCTCAAGGCTAGTGCTCTACCACTTGAGCCACAGCGCCACTTCCGGCTTTTTTCTTTTTGCTTATGTGGTGCTGAGGAATCGAACCCAGGGCGTTGAGCATGCAAGGCAAGTGCTCTACCACTGAGCCACCTTCCCAGCCCCTGTAGTGGGGTTCTTTTAGGACAAGGTACCCCAGCTTTTCCTTGGGGTCCACGTTGTCATCAAGTTGCACCTCTTCACAACCTTGGTGCTCCTCCATAACTTCATTCTTTGTAAGGTCTGAGGAGACCTCAGGAGCAGGGGTCTGGCCTGGTGCCAGCATCTTGTTTTGACACACTGCACCCTCACCTGCAAGGCACAATAACAGCTCCTACAGCTTGTTCTCATTCTCCGGGACAGCTAGTTGACACACTCAACTTTCTCCTGATACAGCTCATCCAGCTAATCTTTCAACTCCTGGTTTTACAGTGGTGTGTATCTCATGCTGATCCCATTCTTCAGCCTTCTTCAGCCTCCACAGCTGCTCTTGCTTTTCCAGGTTCTGGAGTCCAAGACACTAGTTTTCCTAAAGTTGTTCTTTCAGGCTCTTTTCACTCCTGCAACTGGTAGTTGCTGCCTGTAGTTGCTGCTTAGCCTGAGATGGTCCTGCAGGGAGCTGCAGTAGTGACAGTTGTGCCAACTTCTTTCTCAGACCAGGTTGGTCTCTACGTCCAACACCTGCCTCATCCCTTGCTCTTTCTCCTCTGTTAGCTCATCTGCTCCAAGAGCTTCTGGGCCTTCTCCTTCCATGTGAAACTCTACCTTTAGGTCCTTTGCAAAATTGTCTCTTTCCAGCTTTAATTTTGTCACTAACTCTTTCATGTTCTCTAGTTGGCTTTCAATCTCTGCCTGCTCCTCTAGTGATTGTCATAACTCATGAATTTTGATCTTCATGTCAGCCTTCTGGGTCAGGCGCACTCCCAGCCTTTCCTGTAGCTCAGTGTTCTCTTCCTCCAGATTATCAGCTTCTGGGTTTTTCCTGGAGATGCAGCTTCACATCATTGAGGTCTTTAATGAGCTCTAAATTGTTCTTGTCTGATTGTGCATGTGGAGACTGCAGACAATGTCATCTCCAGCTCTGTAGTGCACTGCTGTGAAGCCTGCAGGTGGCTGGCAAGACCTTTATGCTTCAGTTCTCTTTCATTGGCCACCTGCTGCACATAGGCCAGGGCAGATTGTAAATCGAATTTTTCTGAAACCAACATCTGTATTGATAGCTTGTAGAGCTTCAGGTCTATTTTCAGTGCATCCTGCACACACGCCCTCTTCTCATTCTCCTTTCCCTGTTGATCCTGCAGGTCTTTCTTTTCCTGCTTCAGTTTGTACTCTGCTGGAGTCCAGGGCAAGCACCAGGTGTTGGTAGCACCTTTCCCTGTCCTCAATATTGTTGGAACCTGTGACACTCTTGACCTTGGCAGCTCTGCTGTGTGCAGTGGAGGGGGAGGCTCAGGGTGAGTTTGGTCTTTGGCCTCACTCTTGGTTGAATTACAGTCCCCAGCAATGTTTGTCTTAGGGTTACCTCCCTTTTTAATTTTCTTTTTTTTTCTTGTATTCTGCAGGTCTGTCAGAACAATTCCACTGTAGATATTCTTGCAGTAGCTTTTTTTCTTGCAACTAACCTTTTTCATCTTGCTTGCTCAGGCATCCCAGCACTGGGACAGGGAAGAGGGGGCCACATTCCCAGGCTCTCTAAAACTACCTCTGTTCTCTCAACTACCAACTATGTCTGTTTCCTACTGTAGCTCCAAAATCATCTCAATTCTCTCACCATTCAGCAGTGGTGTAAGCCAATAGAGGGGAACACCAGTGCTATGAGGCAATAGAATATGGGCGTGGCCTCAGCGATTTTATCTCATTGGTCAGAAACATGAAAAAGCAGGGGTGTGGCCAGAATCTTGTGATCCAGGAAGAATGGGTGGAATCATGATGAGAGCTGCTACTACAGCCCCTCCCCCATACAACCTTGTCCAGTTTGGTCGGGGGCAGCGCAAGACTTGCTCTAGCTGGATAGGAGTATAGTTGTACAAGCCAATTTTCCTAGCTGCCATCATACAACTGTGGTCACCTGAGAACATAAGTGGTTCTGTCAGGCTGCTGCCCTATAGACCTTCCTGTGCTGCTGATAACCAGTGAACACTGATTCGAGGACTCAGAAAGTAGATGGTCAGTCTGTAGCAGTGAACATTGCATCACTTCCCAGTTCCTTTCCTGCCTCCACTGCCCTGTTCCCATTCTTTCCTGTTTAGAAATCATCTCCAGTGATTCCCTATCCTTTCTCCCAGCTTGCCCCATTTTCACAATCTCTTTCATGCTTTTTTAAAGCCTGGCTATATACTATCTACTTCCTCAGCATGATCCATTCCTGGTCTCCTGCTTCCCAGATGATCCTCCTCCTATACTTCTCTGCTTACCCTGTTGTACTTAGAGGGAATGTGTTATCCAACTGGCTTTTCTCCTGGACTGAAGCAGAACTGAACTGAAATTGTCAGAGCTTTCTGCTACCAAGTAAGGATGTCTGGGTTGTTGTCTCCCACTTCAATTCTAACCATTTTAGCTCTCTTCAAGGTCAGGAGACCTTTGTACTGACCACATTTTTAATGCTTAATAACAAAATGTAGCTGTCTCTTAGCTACCATATTTTGCAGGGCTGGATATCCCATTAGTTTTACTAAATTCTA